GCCAATCACAATGTACTGGATAGCTGGCCAATCACAGCACACCTTGCTTTTTCAGACCGATGAGCTTTGTAAAAATCGACGCGTTTCAAAAAGGCGGGGCATAGAGGAGAAACAATAATGTACAGTATGTGGAAAATAATGTGTTTTTTTAACTTTAAACCGCATAAACACATTTCATTACACCAAATACACAAAATAATGTTCTTTTTAGCAGCATCATATGACCCCTTTAAGGATGATTCCCATTATATTATCATCAAATAATTTAATGAGTACAATTGTAAAGTAAAAATACAGTACAGAGAAAAAAATACTATAAAACAATGAGTTTTAAAATTAACTACAGGTATACAGTATATATATATATATATATTACGTTATTATATACATTCCTATTATTCCTTGTAATTTTGGGGTTGAAAAATGACCAGGACAGGGCTGCGTTTCCCAAAAACAAAGCTACAAAAAGTAGATCGTAGAGATTAACAATACTTTTACTTCCAATGCTTTTGAGAAATGCAGCCCTGGACATTTCTTAACAGGTTTAATGCGATTTACAGAGCAGAGCACACTGTCAGTCAGTCTGTTTAAATAAGCCAGTTCACTAAGTGTCATCGTGACTACAAAGACTGAAATCTCTAAAACCTACAGCCAAACTTACGTTTCCATAATCAATGTCAAATCGGACAATAGTTTCATTTAATGTTGCTTCTTTATAATAAATTCAGAGTAAAAACTACAGTATTTTCAGGTTGGTCTAGTTAATGCCACTAAAGCAGTTTTTCTTTTAGTTGAAAAGTGGAAAGATTCACTTCCTTGCTGTTTTTCTGACCAATGTATATTATCCCATTTGTATTTTAGTAAGTGTCTTTTCATTCTCTCTCCATTTTAGTTATTTTAGTATCACTGAGTTATACATATATTATTTAAGGTAATGGCATTTTTATGGTTTTAGCTTTAGTTAACTATAATAATCCCCGTCTGCAGTAAAAGCCAGTGCTCTGTTGAGGCAGACAGGGGGTGAGGAGGTGAGGGGTGTGTCAGAGGTCAGAGGAAGAGGGCTAATTAAACAGACACAACTCATTACAGATAATGACAAAGCCACGCATGTAGGGTGTGACACTGACCGTACCTATGAGTGATTACGGCCACAGGTTCCAGAAAATTCCTCGCAAAAATAGCTTGGGGGCCCGTCGTGGGTGTAGCGCTTTATTTTGGGAGTGCATGTGGAAAATTCACTCCCAGAGAGAATGCTTATCAATTATCAAACACATCACTCACTCTCTCCTTTCTTTGCCTTCTCATCTTCTCAGTACTTATTATGGAAATAATATACTTAAGTGTGCACTGAATGTAATGTTGGAAATAATATACTTAAGTGTGCACTGAATGTAATGTTGGAAATAACATACTTAAGTGTGCACAATGTAATGTTGGAAATAATATACTTAAGTGTGCACTGAATGTAATGTTGGAAATAACATACTTAAGTGTGCACTGAATGTAATGTTGGAAATAACATACTTAAGTGTGCACTGAATGTAATGTTGGAAATAACATACTTAAGTGTGCACTGAATGTAATGTTTTATGACATTTAACTGCATGTTAATTACAATTAAATGAAAATGTATTATAGTTTAAATTTATATTAAATGCACATCTTCTCAGTACTTATTATGGAAATAATATACTTAAGTGTGCACTGAATGTAATGTTGGAAATAATATACTTAAGTGTGCACTGAATGTAATGTTGGAAATAACATACTTAAGTGTGCACTGAATGTAATGTTTTATGACATTTAACTGCATGTTAATTACAATTAAATGAAAATGTATTATAGTTTAAATTTATATTAAATGCAATTAGCTGAATTCAAGTGTGTTTTTAACCAAGTTAAGTAGGACTCAAGTACATCTTTATATGCAATTTCATAATTACTTCTATTGTCTTTGAAATATGGTTAAAGTGAATGCCAAGCATTTATAGTAAACTAAAATATACTTCAATACCAGTGGCGGCTCGTCGGGGGAGGCAGGGGAGGCACAGCTTCCCCAAAATTTTGAGGGGAAAATGGGAGGAGGACTATTTATTGTTAATAAAATTCACAGTTAATTTCAGTTCATGTCTCAGAATGTGTATTTTTTGTTTGTAATTTCACAGCTGTAATACCATAACTTGTTAACGAAGTTGGAAAGCGCCTTTTTTTCTATCGCGAATGTGCCGAATCTGCAGATGTAATTACAACCGCTAATAATAGAGAAGGGGAGGGGGAGGCCGGGTGAGACGCTGAGCTCTCGTGCCTCCGTTGGTAAAAAAAATTAGCCAATCACCATCGAGGTTCACTTTCAGCGCTGAGGAGTGTTGAGAAAAGAAACCTCGCAGGGGAGGCTAGCCTCCCTTC